CAGAGTTTATTAGTCCCCAAGGGACCAAGACGTGGCCTTGTAAATGGAGGGTTCTGCACCAGTTGGGAGTGTGAGAGAAAAATGTCCCTCGGTCTACACCACACAACTCAATCTCAGTAGGGCAAGGCTGCGGGAGGATGGGGTAGTGGGTCTCCCCTGAGGAGGAGGTGCTGATCAAGCTTAGGGGTGGGGGTGGGGAGAATGGCCCTTGCCCCAGAGTCATGCAACTCAGTCTGTCCCTCACTTTGCCTGGACCTTAGTAGGGTGGAGCCCAGAGACTGGGGCCAGTAGATCTCCAGTGAGATTCACGGGAGAGTGGGAGAAATGGCCTCCAGTGAGATTCACGGAGAGAGGGAGAAATGACCTCCACCCTAAAGTCACACCTCAGTTACTGACAGCACGTGACTCTTCCCAGACTTCTCTATCCTGGTGCGGGCAGCTGATGCCGTGTGGAGGGGAGTGCTCCACCCAGGAAAGATGGCTTCTGCTGTGCGGGAGAGTGACTCAGCACAGGGATCCTGGTGGCTGTCCCTTCAGCTCTTTCCCCAGAGCCACACACCCCAGACTCTCCTCATTTGACTCTGCTCTACCTTCCCTTTGCCAGAGCCCAGAGTGAGTGGCAGCAAATGAGACCTCATGCATTGGCACTGTAGGAGGACACCTGTGTCTCTAGCACATTCCCTGGTAGACAGACTCCCTGCTGCTTTGCTCAGCTGGATGCTATGAGGGCGCCTCTTCCTCGTAACAGTTTTGGGTTGAGTCCCCACGCTTCTCAGGGGGAATCCCTTCCAAATCTCGGGATGCCTGTGGGAGTGTGGCTTCTTCTGTAAATCTTTGGTTGTAAGACTTCTCTTCAGCTAGTCTTCAGATGGTTATTGAGGTTGCTTGCTCTATATTTTGGTTGTAACTACAGTTTGGCCCAGCGAGAAGTGAGCAACATTCACCTCCCCTGTTGCCATCTTGGGTCCCTCCTCTTTAAAGAGTTCTAATTCGTAACAGAAATGTGAACTTCAGCCCACAATAGCCTATGCCAAAGACCTCAGTTTTACTTAAAATGTTAAATTTACTGGTGTGTACAAATACGTGCTACTATGAATGGTATGTGTGCTCCCCAAAATCCATAGTTTGGAGGTGTGGTGACAGGGAGGAAAGTAGGGTTAGATTATATCATGTGTAACCTTAGGATGAAACCAGTGAACTTGAAAAAAGAGGAAGACACAGCAGGGTTCTGTCACGCCCCTTGCATGTGCCCAGGAGAGGTGACCTCACGTTCTGAGAACAGCCCTCTTTTCCCTGATGACGCCAGCATCGTGACAAGGCAGGAGAAGGCTCCCCAGCACCAACCTCCCTTTCCTTTCCCCACCTCCACTGTCCTTGGGAAGAAATGGGGAGAATTCTCCCATCATCCCGCTGCCTCCTTTTCCTTTCTCTACCTGCCTCTTGTCCTTGAAGAGAATTCTCCCTAGCACCCACCTCCCTTATCCTACCAAGCTCTCATTTTAGGGAAGGAGTGTCACCCTCACAATCTACTTATCTTTCCCCACTTACTTCTCTCCTTGGGGAGAAGTGGGGAGAGGCCACTCCTTCCTCTCCCTTCTACCTGCACTGGGCTTGCTACCTCCCGAGAGGGGCTCCCTGTGAGACACCCGCCACATTCCAGGGCAGTGTTTCTTGGTCTTTTTAAATCCATGCCCTGTCACTTTGATAAACAGAAAACGTTTACACTCTACTTAAATCACTTGATATTAAAAATGAAGTATTTTGACTAAAAGGAAATTGTAACAGCGGGACAGACAACCATACGTTTATAGTTCCTTGATCTCACCATGTCCCATTCCCGAGGGACCACCTGAGGCCTCTCATCTCACCTTTCCTGGCTTGGCTACCTGATTTCACTGGAAGCAGAGCGGCTCCTTGGGGCAGACTCTCATGGCCACCAGACTCTCATGGCCACCAAAGCTCACAGACGGATGCAGGACAGCAGAAGGCCAGCTCATTATTTTAGAACCACCGATGCCAATGTCACACAGGCCAGGGGACTTGCCCTGACACCACCAGTGCATGCTCTCCTTGTGGCCGACCTCCACCAGAAGCTCAATCAACACGAGAAGGTTGCTAGTGAACACAAATCAGGACACGGAGCATGAGATGAGTCAAATTTCTGAAGGCCTGAGGCAGCCAATTCCTCAGTGGGGTCATCTTGCCAATAAAACCACACAGGGTTGGTGACAGCTTCTGCATCCTTCCCCGTTATAGCAATGTCCTTCCAATGCAGCCTGGAGCTTACGTTTTGGCCAGGGCTCCTCTCTCCTTTGGACAGTACTGACGTGGGCGTTGCCAACGTTTTCCTCTGTGACTCTTTTTCCCTGGACTCTTTGGGTGGCCAGTTCTGTCTTTAGATATTTTAATACACTCAATCAGGTGACGAGGAACATCTCGCAACTCTGAAACCCAGGTGATCACTTCTGAGCCCTTTATATATCTGCGTACTATCCTGGGCTCATTTTATAATTTAGCGCAACCTTTTTCTAAATTCTTGGGGGGTGATTCACTCTACCGTGCATGTACACATTCACAGTCGTTGGTATGCTTTATTTACTAGAATTTAACCCTTTACTCAAAGCCATCCCACAGGGCTTAAAATTTCCCCCCTTTAGTTTTAACTAAACTGCAGAATCATCCAGTTCTCCAGGTGTTCTGATCGCCTTCATCTCTTTAGAGAAGAGGGATCCAAGATGGCAGCAGAGGAGGTGAATGTTACACTCATCTCCTCGCTGGACCAAACTGTAATTACAACTAAAATATAGAGTAAGCATTGATCTCAATAACCATCTCAATAACTGGCTGAAGAGAAGTCTTACAACCAAAGATTTACAGAAGAAGCCACATTGACGGACATCCTTCCCATGGTTAACGCCTTCTCTGCAGGACACATGCACTCCCAACAATGGGAACATTTATTGGGAGATAAGTATTTTTTCTAAGTCAGGCTGCTCGTACAATTTACGTAAGAGGTGCCTGACTTGCTCACCCTGTAACGTGGCGGGGAAAGGCGTGAGTTACTGAGCTAAGCTCCCTGCAGAAGCTCAGTCACACTCAGCACAGAAAGACTTCCCAGACAGTTGCTGAAGGACGTGCTGGCTGTGGGTGAAGGACTGCAGCCTCCCCCACCCATGGCCTTGTCGCAGACAGAGCCCTTGTTGTCATCCCCTGCTGTGGGGCTATATTCATTACTGACCGACAGCTAGCTTCCACGAAGCCGGTTTTCCTCAGAACGGGTGCAATTACATTTTCCCACAATATTCCCTGCCCCCCTCCTCCATAAAAGGCTTTTAAAACCATTTAGTCTGGGAAACTGAGATGACCTTCTGGATCATTTACCTCCTGATAACACACCTAATAGAAACCTATGGGGAATGCTTTCCCCCAACAGAACCCAGAAGCGGCCATCTGCAGACAATAGGGGGCTTGTTTGCTTTCAGAGCTGCCCAGTCGGCGCAGATTGCTGAGGCGGTGTGAGCACTGCGGGAGGAGCCAGCAGCTCCCAGCTCTCCTGTTACGGCAGGCCAGCCGCTACGGTACCAGGTACCAGCCAACAGTTTCTTCCCACCCGAGATCACCATAAAAATAGGAAAGTCTCCCTTTCTGGACAAGACATATGTACATACATGTCAAATGATTTCAATCTCAGCCACAGGTTAAAAAATAGCACACGCGAAGGAGAACACACACGATCCCCAAGGCCTCCCCTGGCTGTTATACAGAAGCCACTCTGTGACAAGTCCATCACCTAACCAACCGGACCTCGCCCTGGCCTTGACTGTCTTCATTCTTTGCAGAAAAAAACACCACCATCCTGTTACTTTCTCTCCCCTCCGTCCTTTATCACAGCCAAACTTTCTAGCTTTTATATGGATTTTGCTCTTCTGTTCACTCTGACTTACCTTGTTCGTTCAGTCACAGCGATGTCCCGGGGGGTCCCACTATCCTCTCACCTTCATTGGAACCCAGTGTGTATGGAACACACGTGCTGGGCAGGGTGCTAGTCATCCAGCTTGATTTAATAGACACCAATGTGGAAAATTCTTTACCAAGTAAATACATATTTTGATATTTAGGAAATTTTGGTTCTTCTTCACTTAGAAATCTATTGAACCCTCAACCATCCCGAGAAAGATGTTGACAAGACAATGGAGAAACACACAAAAATGGCTATTGCCATTTTATTACCACCAGTATATTATAGAAAGGGATGGAGGCAGTCTAGTTGGAAACCACTAGGAAGTGACTTCAATGTTTAAACCCACGGAAACATTTGCTGATTGCTATTTTATAACACTCGAGAGACAATCAGGACTGACTTATTTTCTGAGGTTGTCACTTTCTCTGCGTCCGTCATGACTTATGTCGTCATCTCAGCCTGTGCAGAGTCACCAGTCTTTAAGCGGGATGTTCCTGTAAGCGGGATGTTCCTGTACCTCCTAACCACAGTCCTGGGAGCCTCAGCTCAGGTATGTTTCAAAGGGACCTGCACACATGCTTATTAGCATAACCAATGAACACAGAGACTGGGGGCAGTGGGAATGGCTGGGGAGGCCAACTGGGGACAAAGGAGACATATGTAAAACTTTAGACAATAAAAGATACACACACACACCAGTTTGTATGTATGGGCTCTCCTCTCACTGCCAGTTTGGGGTTATTTGTTACATCTGCAATGGCCACTAACTATGCACTTTGTTAGAATCAGATGCTTCCTTTGGATTCCTATCAGCGCAAAGGTTGTGGCTGGGAGTGGGAGGGTGAGGGGGGGAGTCACACTGACAAATACTCCAACCTCTAGCGCTAACCTCAGGCCTCAGCTGATTCTAACTGTGCTCCCATTTGTTTTCTAGTATTTCATGAAGCACAGACCCGTCAGTTGAATGGGAAAGAGTGAAAAAAAAGGAAATCGGAGGCGACGCTCTTACCTCTGCCACCACAGGACAGCGTGGCCTTACCTGGTTGGTAGAAGTCCGGCGACAGCTCCCTGGCCACGGATCTGGCGATGTCGCACTCCTGGCGGGCGGCCAGCGCGGCCTGGTCCGCGGCGTCGGCTTTGGCTCTGGCGTGTGCGGTCCTGCGGGGGCACAAGCGGCAGCCATCAGGGTGGGACCCCGTTAGCTACACGCGGCCATGCAAACTGGCTGTGGCCGCAAAGAAGTGCTAACTGTGATCCGGCCTTGCACCAGCAAGGCTCAGAGTCGTTTCTACAGAGACAACATGCACTAAACCGCCAGGAACATGCCTCAGTCCTTCTTCCCAGGGACACGAAGGATGAGCACGCTCTGTACGGCTTCATGCCAAACTCACTGAATGGAATATCCGGTTCACTTGGTTTACCCTTCCTCTCCCCGACCGTGGAGAGCAGAATTAGAACATGAGTCAACATGGCGTTTTCTGGATTTAATTCCTAGGGTAAAATCTGATTAAGCGTCTGCCCAGTGCTGTGGGTAAAGGAGCTCCCTGGGGGAGAAATAAAGTAAAACTCTAATTTCACTGGTGCAAATTTCACTGTCGCGACCCACAGATTGAGAACCGCTGCTGTAGAGCCTAAGACCATTGGAAAACACAGGTATTTATATTACGGTTCATTAACAGTAGCAAAATTCCAGTTAGGAAGTAGCAACAAGAATAATTTTATGGTTGGGGGTCACCACAACATGAGGAGCTGTATTAAGGGGCCGGGGCATTAGGAAGGTTGAGAACCACTGCTCTAGGGTTAGGGAGAGGCAGGAGGGAGAACAATGGAACTTCTTATGGCAACAACAGGTATGTGTGGTTGGCTGATTTGCTTCCTGCCTGCCTGAAGTGGGGATTTGGAGGGTGTGACTGAGAACTTTGGCTCATCCACTTTCCAAGGAGAAGACCTTTCCAGCTAGTCCTTGGATGATGATCACAAGCACTTATTGCTTATAACTTTGTAAACGTCCTATCTATTCTATTTCATGAGCACCAGCAGGACAGGACTATAGATAACGACTTACTAAGAATTTAAGTCTAAAAGGTGCTTGGACTCATTTCAGAGAGAGGCGTTGGGAAATGGCACTGTGCCCTGGCTGGTCTTAGGAGAGAAAACACAGATGGCAGCCCAAGGAGGCTGGCAGACAGAGTTCCAGGAAGAGGCAGGAGGCTGAGGTCAGACCTCGACCATGGGGCTAAATGGAGGCCCCATTCTCCAATTATTTTCTTCAAGGATGTCCTCCCACCCTGTGCTCATGGGGGCGTTTCCCTCCTATGTACGCCCTAGCCAGGAGGCCTGATGTTCTAGCTGGAGGCTTCCTTCCTGGAGGCTGGGATTTTAAATCTGGTCCTTGGCTAAATGCCCAATGCACAGAACACTGCCCGGCACACAGTATTTATTGAGGGCTCACTTTATAAATGAATGAACGAGGCTTCCTTAGAAATAGCTGAGTACCGTGTTTCCCCAAAAATAAGACATCCTCCGAAAATAAGACCTATTTACAGGTTTCCTTCTGAGTGAAATATAAGGCACCCCCTAGGCTAAACATGAGAGATTTGGTCAATTGATTCTGAAAGAAATGAAGTCACAAGAAATTCACCAGGAAATTCAGGAATTGGGTTGTTATAATGATGTTCCAGAAGATGATTGTTAACATGATTGTCATTGAATAAATGAGTAAATTTTTTGATACTGTAGGATTCACAGTTTGTCTGCTTTGTGTTGACAACTACCGTACTACCATACTGTATACAGGTAATAAATTTCCTTTATTTTCATTTAACAATAAATGTGTACCGTATTCTTCTTCATGGAAAAATAAGACATCCCCTGAAAATAAACCCTAGTGCATCTTTGTGAGCAAAAATTAAGACACTGTCTTATTTTTTGGGAACAGAGTAGTTACCCATGAATGGATGGACAAAACTACAGAGACAATAAAAAGATCAGTGGTTGCCAAGGGTCCAGGGTGAAAGTGGGTGAGAGATGAACAGGTGGATCATGGGATTTTTAGGACAGTGAGACTAGTCTGGGGAACATTAGTAATGGGGGATACATGACATTTGACAAATGCATAAGCTCACCGAACTGTACAAAATCCTGCCAACCGTGGACTCTAGTTCATACTAATGTATCAATATTGCTTCATCAGTTGTACCAAATGTACCCGCTCACACAAGATGTTAAATAATAACGGGGGAAACGATGTGGGTGTGGGGAGAGGAGGCACATGGGAACTCTCTGTACTGTCTACTTACTTTTTCTGTAAACTTAATATTGCTCTAAAAATAAAACTTTTTAATTAAAATGAAGTGGATCAACGTCCAGTCATCAGAATGGTTATTTCTGAATCCCAAAGGGTGTTTTAGCTGGTCTCTGTCTGATGGGTATCATGAAGTGGAGAACACATTCCTAAATCCTGGCCTCGTCACCCCACGGGCAGCCCTCACTGAGGACAGGTGACACGTCGGTCCCATGTGTGCTGCCTGAGCATCTATGGGGCCTCCGTTATGTCCTTTTCAACTTCCTAGGACTAGTTTTCATGTTCTCTCATGTTCTTAACTAGAGCCTCATCATGTCCAGGTGTCATCATACATGAAACCATAGGAGTTCAGTTATGCTACCTTGTAATAAAACCTACTCCCCTTTCAATGACAAATCCATAAAACTCAAGTAACCAACAGCTCACGGTGACACCATCACAGCCCACCACCACGGCACCCAATGAAATGGAGGCATAAGTTCTGCCGATTTCACAATATGTGAGACCAGGGCACAGACAAACACAGCTTAACCTTTCTGCAAATATGTTTTGGAAGCGGAACATCAGTGAAGCCTTAACCCTGTCCTGTCTCACTTGCTCCTTCCTGTCACACTACCCAGGGAGGGGGGGACCTTTCCATCCAGAGCCTGTGTCAATTCCCCTCCCCCCCCTCACCTGCAGAGATGAGTCCAAACCATGTTCAACTCCGAAAACCCGAGGTTCTGCTGGGGAGCTTTTGCTAGCCCTGGATCCGATCACAAAAAACAGACGAGAACAAGAATCCACTCGGACTTTGCCGTCCCCACAAGCTTTGTGTGGCCAGACCTGCCATGTCTAGATTTTGCCTGGGGGGAAATCCGGGCCTGACCCTGCCTCAGGTTAGTGAGTTCCTGTGCTCACACCCCAGGTTCAGTTCCAGAGCAACACACGGTCCCTTTAATCAGCCAGCTGGTAAGACCTGCCATTGTTCATGGGTTGGGGGGTGGGAGCTCAGGCTGGTCCATCTGGAGAGAGGAGCTCAAACCACTCACAGGAAATGCCCTGCTGCTGTCGCTGGTCACGTGGGAAACACGCGTGCTTTTATGCATGTTTCCCATGTGACCAGCGACAGCAGCAGGGCATTCCCAAGAACCTCTCATTCAATCAAACGACTGCGGACACCCATAAATCTCCAGACCCTCACCAGTCTCCAAACACTGACATCATACACACTTTCTTCCATAAAACACAGTCAACAGTAAGTGAAAAGCAACTTCTCCCAGGCATTTGTCATTGACCTTCTTCTAGGGTCCTATTTTTTAGAAATAAATCAAAAAAGTTTTAACTGGTAGAGAGTTACTATGTAGGAATGTAGAGATACAGACACGTGGGCAGCTGGCTAGACGCACATGGGAGCTAAATGTCTCCCTCCTGGACAGGAGCCCTGCAAAGGTCACCTGTGAAGGCCAAAAGCAGTCCGGGTGGAATTTCTGAACTTCAGGCACCACCTGAACTTAAGAACTTAATTACAACCTATTTTTTCCAAACAGTAAGTTTATGAGGACCTGAGCTTCCCCCCCCTTTAATGACTAAAATAGTGTTTCATGTCACCTTATTCAGAACAACACAGCCTGGCTTTCCCAATATTTCTTAAATATAATAATACTTTTACTAAAAAAAGCATATAAACAATACAGTGAGCATACCCAGCTAAAGTAACACATGGGTCCCTTACATGCCTGTCCCAACTTCTAACTTTCCCTTGTTTATACCTCTGTTCACTGACATAGCTGATGATTTTAACCTAAAAAGATCTATGATTCTACTAAAATTCTTCTAGAATCATCTACTATGATTCTACTAAAACACCATTCTAAGTAAATTTGGGGTGGGAAGACAGCTTCATAAGGGCCAATCTTTACATTTATATATTCTTGAATGTTACTTTTCTCCCAGAGTTGCTTTTTTATTTTTATTTTTAAAAGGACCTAGAATAGTAACTTTAAGACAAAAATCTTAGATCCTGACTATAAACTTGTTCCATCAAAACAATAACAAAAAAACAAAACAACCCAAAAACCAAACCAAACAACAACAAAAAACTTGTTCCATCATCAGAAAACATTTGTCTTTATTGCCAGAGCAGGAGTTCATGTCTTACTTCCCTAAAAAGTAAGCAACATCAACTTATTTAGATATACAATGTAAACTAAGTGGCTGGCCATCCCCATGGGAGTTTGCTGATTGATCTTTTAAAGGCCCAGATTCACAGAGGGATGATGATACAGGCTTTGGAAGCACTAACACTCAGAGACGAGGTTAAGACCAGTCTAGACCACAGATAATCCTTGTCCATAAGATCAAAAGTTAAACCATGTTACTTTTATCACAGAAATGTCTTTGTAGAATCATCATTTATACCACACCCTTGATTTCTTTTTTTTTAATCAAGCGGAGACAGGAGGAACCAAGATGCGTGTGAAGAATGTTTCCATACCTGTTGTAAAATGCAGTTCACTGTATGTGTCCTTGCCATGTTTACAGAGATCTGGGTGAGATATTCCTCGTAAAGTTCAGTGCCAGGAAGAATGTGGTTTCTGCTGATAAACTGGTGTGCTTCCTCGTATCATACATAAGAGCTACGTACTAAGCTTTGTTTCTCTCTTTGTTAAGGCAGCCAGGAAACCTGGAGCAAACCCACCCTCCATCTGTGTATATGGTTATCTTCCCTAACTACATGGCTGCAACATTCCCCCGTGTCAGGAATGTATGTGTGACTCATCATTATGCCCTTGCTAATCCTTTTTGGAAACTGGCAGGATATTGGGAGAAAAAAAAAATTACTGGCTCAATAAAGCTCTCTGTTTTCTGAACT